CGGACACCCGGAGAGGGAACCCCAAACTGTCAGCCCACGCCTGCGGCGGGGATTCCATGGGCACAGGCTGGGGAGCGGGACCGGGAGAGCCCCGGGGGCCGGCAAGGACCCGGAGGGGGGCCTGGAGAAGGTGGTCCCACACACACACCCCGGACGTCCCTAGCGTCGGATGCGCCAGATGCCGGGCGAGCAGCACGCGGCCAGAACAGGCCTCCTGGGGCTGGACCGTCTTTGTCTAGCCATAACACGGGCTTAGGCTGGGGCTGGGATGCATCAGAACGGAACCAGGCAAACCGTGACCTTGTGCCTGAACTCTAGAGCCTGTTTTCCCCTTGTAGAGCTGGCAAATGGAGCCCCATGTCACAAGTCCAAGTGCTGCAGGTGTGCGCGTGCATCACGATCCATGTGAGTGGGTCCAAGCCCGGACCTCACACAGGGATCTGTTGAAATTTACATCAAGTTGAAAAAAAATAAGATTTGCCACATGATTTTTTCCAGGTGTGAGAATAAGTTTGTTTTTGTTTTTTGTCTGAAATCGGGTACTTCCTACTTTCTTAGTATAAAAACCTTTTCTTTTAAGAAGTGGTGTTGATGGTTAATGAAAATTGGGTTTCACTTGGTCTTGGTTCAGGTTCAGGCCCAGCACTCATTAATTATGTGGCAAAAAAAAAAAAAAAAAACAAGAAAAAAAATTATGTGGAGGGGAGAAACATACTTCTCAAGATGCTGGTAGAATCAAGAGAGGTAATGGATAGAAAAGAGCTTTGTAAACTGACAAAGGATATGAGTAAGTGATTGTCATTAAATTTTAATAGTAAGTGATTTGTCCAGAGTAGAAATAGCAGTGGTATTGGAAATGCACTTGCCAAGCTATGAGTAGCAGAAAGGATGTATGATTGATTGATTGATTGATTGATTGATAGGGTCTCATGATGTACTTCAGGCCTGCCTTGAACTCACTATGTACCCCAGGCTGGCCTTGAACTCCTAGTGATCCTCCTGCCTCAGCCTCCCAAATGCTGGGATTATAGGCATGCACCAAGACATACAGCTAAGGATATGTCCTTAAAGTGTGAACTTGGAGGTAACTATAGAAAGAACATGGGAGAAAATCCCTGAACGAAGAATATCTTATTGACACTAAACAGAGGCAGACCAGGATAGGAAAATTATGGGATAAAGATGGGAAATATAAGATTGGCATGGTGGCCCACACCTACAATCTCAGCATCCTGGGAGGATGAGGCAGGAGGATTGCATATTTTAGCCCAGCCAGAACAGGTTAGTGATATGAGACCCTGTCTTAAAAAAAAAAAAAAGTTGATGATCTGAGCTGGGCAGATGGTGGCACACACCTTACTCCAGAGGCTAAGGCAGGAGAATCACTTTAAGAGAAAAAAGGTTTATTTAGCTTACAGTTTGTAGGTTTCAGTCCATAATTGGCTGACTCCAAGGCAGGGTGGCAACTGTTCATAGTAGAAGACAGCAAAAGCAATAAGCACAAAAGAGGAGCAAACCTCTTTTTCTCCCTTACATTGAATTCAAGGTACCCACCCTAGGGCAGGTGTAGTGCTCACACTCCCAATCCTGGCACTAGACAATGAACCAGTCACAAACTCTAGATTTAACTGCCCCCAAAAAAGCTCACCCCATATGACCACATGAGACTTATCCAGGAACAAACTGGATCACATTCCATCACTGGATCCCCAAAGACTCGTACACATCCCTTATACAAAAGGCATTTAGATCAACTCTAACAGTTGCCAAAGTTCTAACAGTTTCAGCATGGCTGAAATGTCTAAATCCCAAGTCTCCTCTAAGATGTAAGGCAAAATCTTAGCTATGAGCCCCTGACCAAATGAAAAGAAACTTAAACACTTCCAACATTTAGTGGCACAAAATAAATGTTTTTGTTCCTTTTGTGTGTGTGTGTGTGTAACCAGGGATTGAACTGGGGCCCGTGCGCTTGCCAGGGAAGTGCTTATTCTACTGAGCCATCTCCCAAACCCCTCAAAATTTTCAAGCAGGAATACAAGGAATGGGGCCAAAGCAAGCCCAACATCCAACAGGGCAAATATTAAGCCCTGCAGTTCCATGTGTAGCATCCAAGGCAATCTATGCAAGATGTGAGCCTTAAAGGGCTTGGGTGACTCCAGCCCAGTGGTACTTTGGGTGGCTGTAGCTCCCATGGCTTCTGTCTTAGGTCCACTCTGCTCTTAGGTCCACTTTGCTCTTGCCTTGCAGATTTTCTTAGGCAATTCATGTACCTGGCTTTTCCAATCTTCTGTGGTCTCTGCTGCACCTTTGGTTTTATCCTCACAGCTTCACACTGTCCTCTCAGGGGCACAGTATGAGAAGCCTTTTGAAGTAGGGGTGGAAACCTTCCTAACCCCCACAACTCTTCCATTTTGCATGCCTAAAACCAGTGCTACATGGATGATGCCAACGTTTGCTGCCAGGCGAAGCAGTAGCCAGGCTTCCTTGTCTCTTTGCTGTAGGGGTCAAGTTCCTGGATTACTGAGCACTCTGAATCTATTTTTGGGGAACAAATTTTTTATGCTGCCACCATTCTGGAACATAGTGCTCCTTGGCTTCTCAAAGCAAAACGTTTCACTTTTGCGATTTTGAGGCTGCAAAAGGTAGAGTACTGCTCTTTCTTGTGATACCCTCAAGTCATCTCTTTTATTCTTTTGTTCCTTCTCAGCAGTCAGGATCTCCCATGCTCTATTTTTGCAGTCCACAAAGCTTTTAAAAATTATTCTTCTGGGCTCTTTGCTCTTGATTTTAACATAAATCTGGCTAAAAGTCCCAGCCATAGCTTTGTTATTGCCTCAACATTTGACAGCCTTAAAATTTTTATGCCAGATTAATTACTCTGCTGCCCCTAGTCTCAGTCTCAAGCAAAATCTCTGGATACAAATAAAGTGCAGACAAACCTACCAAGCCGTAGCACACATCATCTGGGTTCAACAGCTAAAGCAGTCCTTTTCGCTCTACTTTTATAGCCAGTATCTCCAAACTTGTCCAATCTCTTTCCATAACCCATTTCCAAAGGCTCTTGAATCACATGGTCAAGTATAGTCACAATAATGACCCCACTCTTGGTACCAAATTCTGTCTTAGTTACTTTTCTCATTTCTGAGACAAAATGTATGACATCCACAAGTTAGTGGAGGAAAGATTTATTTAAATCAGTTTTTTTAGGTTTCAATCCATAATTGACTGGCTCCAATACAGGGTGGCACATAGCAGGAAGACAACAGTTCATAGCAGTAGAAGACAGCAAAAGCAACAAGCACAAAAGAAAAGGAGCAAGCCTCTTTTCCTCCCTTATATTGTATGCAGGGTACCCACTCTAGCGCAGGTGTAGCAGTAACACTCTCAATCCTAGTACTAGACAGTGAGCCAATCAGAAACTCTAGATTTCATTGCCTCCAAAAGCCCACCCCCCATGGCCACATGAGACTTTGGGTGGGTGGCTGGGGGACATCCAGATACAAGCCATAACAGTAGACCTGAACTACATAGTGAGAGCTTGGCAAAAATGAAAGAATGAAATGTACAAATGAGATGTACATTGGTGCAAAGACTAGGGATCATTCTTTAATCCCACATACTGCAAAAAAAGAAAATGGGAATTATGGGCCATAAGGCAAGAGTGATGCAGGTCCCAGCACCTGGAGAAGAAAAGTTCACAGGATGTATCCAGCCAATATCCTAGTGGTGAAAGACTTGCAACCTGCTGAGTACCTTTATGCCTAAATTCAGTGCATAGTTCTGTATAACATTTGTTAGATTCTTGATGGTTTACAGTGCAGTTATGGCCAAGTCCAAGAACCACATCATGCACATCCAGTCCCGAAAATGGCACAGAAATGGCATCAAGAAACTTCATTCTCAAAGATACTAATCTCCCAAGTTCCTTAGGAACATGCATTTTGCCAAGAAGCACAACAAGAAGGGCTTCAAGAAGATGCAAACAAACAATGCCAAGGCCACGAGTGCATGTGCCAAAGCTATCAAGGCCCTTGTCAAGCCCAAGGAGGTCAAGCCTAAGATCATTCCAAAGGGAGTAAACTGCAGGTTCACTTGACTTCCCTCTATTGCCC